CAGGCTGCCAAGAAGGCATGACTCAATGAAAAAGACAATGATGCTAGGAAAGATGGAAGGAAGTAGAAAGAGAGGAAAGCCGCATACTATGTAGATCGGGGTAGGCAACCTTTCCCCTTTAAGGGCTGAGGGACTTCAGCTCCCAGAATCCCAGGAGCTATTGGCCAACATGGGACTATTGGCCAACATGGCTGAGGCTTCTGGGAGCTGAAGTCCCTCGGCCCTTAAAGGGGAAAGGTTGCCTACCCCTGACGTAGATGGATGGACTCTATTAAGGAGGTCACAGGCATGAGCTTGCAGGACCTGAGCAGAGCAGTGGAGGATAGGGTGTCTCGGAGATGTCTCATCCACAAGGTTGCCATGGGTCAAAATTGACTCGAGGGCAGTTAACAACAACAAAAAGTTTTAATTTGTGCTGAGAGCCATCCTCTCACCCATACTGAGAAAAGGGCTTAGGTTAAATAAAGGGATACAGGTTGAAATAAATTTTGCCATCTCACAGATTAAGATGTATCAGGCACTCTTGTTAATTAATACAGTGCTCTCTGTTACATGATATACTTGTATTACATGTGACCTCCTTTAGCTTTGTGTCTGACCAGCTTCATAAGAAAGCTCATTTTTACAGGAATCACTAACACACAGGGGGGTCTAGTTATGGAAAATGTTTGACCTATTATATTACTAGAATAGTTCCATTATGATAACTTATTCTGACCATCCAATCAGAAAAGATAATTTTCAGGCTATAACTGCGCTGGCCATTAAAAGAGAATCACCCACTTGCATTTTGTGAGAGAGAGTATATGTTAATGCAGAAATGCTGCCAAGGCACAAAGTCTTTTCAAGAAATGGTCTCTCAATATGCTTAACATTTAATAAGCCTCATTTGTCCTGGACCACAGTTTTGCAAGTTTTGATAGTTTCAGCACTCATCTGATTGAGGAAAAGAGGCATATTTGTGTTCTGATAAAGTGCTTTGAAGTTCAGTCATCTGTGTAGAAATTTCTGCATGTATTTGCCTTCTGACCAAGGAGAAGCAATCCCAGAACAGTAACTTATGCAGAAACCCAGCAATCTCCTCTGAGGGTGGATAAATCCTGATAAACATTTTAAATGTGTATATGTGTGCCTTCATGTTACCTATTGACTTATTTATGGAGACCCCTTGAATTTCATAGGTTTTTTTAAAGGCAAAGAATACTCAAGGTGGTCTTGCCAGTTCTTTCTTCTGAAATATAGCCTACAGCACCTGGTATTCATTGGTGGTCTCCTGTCCAATTACTAACCAGGGCTGACCCTGCTTAACTTCCAAGATTTGACATGATCCTGTGCCTTTAGGGTAAATAGCCAATTTTAAATGGCTCAGATAAGCAACTATTACCCCAAACACAGTAAAAGCATTGAAGTGGTAATACTATAGTTGCTTTTCTGTGCCAGTTGCCAGGCGACTTGAAGGCACATACATACACAATGCTTCTGAAAAAGGGAGAGGATGAATCCTTGTTCAGACAATATAATTATTAAGTTCCAGGGCCCAAGAGAGATACCATGGACTGCAAAAAAGATAAAATGAATGGATCTGAGAGCAAATCAAGCCTGAACTCTCACTAGAAGCCTAAATTACTATACTGAGGCTATCATATTTCAGACATGAAAGGACTCATTGGAAAAGACAATAAAGTTTGCTAAAGCAGAAGGCAGTGGGAAAAGAAGGAGATTGTACTACAGGGGAATTGACTCAATGAAGAAAGCCATGGTTATCTGACCTGAGATCTTGGAGGGCTTTCATTCATAGGGTCATCACAAGTCAAAGTCAACTTGACAGAAAATAACAACAGCAACAAAGACCCAAGGTTTTTCCCCCATTTAGATTGTAAGCAGCCCAGTAACTAGATAAAATAGGATGAAGGACTTGAAGCATTGCTCCTTCAGAGACACAACACTGGGATTTGTAAACTGACAGCTCTTGGCAATCCTTACATAGATTTTTGGCACACTTTTGCCACTCAACAGCATGTTTCTTTTCAACACCTTTCAAGAAAGGAGATTATGGAGTAAAAGAATAAGAACTTCCTGATGGAAGCAATGTTCAACAGCAGAACAGACTACCTCAGAGACTAGTAGACTCTTTTTTGTTGGAGAGCTTTAAACAGAGGTTGGATAACCGTCTCTTAGGAGTGCCTTAGCTGTGTATTCCTACAAAACTAGAAAACCCTTAGGATGCCTCCCAACTCTGTAAGATTCTTCATTTCCCTCCTTTCCTCACCAGCCAGAATCATATACAACCCCTGGGAAATGTTGTGTAGCCCCTGACCTAAACTGTTCAAAGAGTTTAGTCAGCGAGCTAGAATTGTTTTAATTTTGCTCATGGTAATATGTCCCAGTCTTTCAAGCCTAAAAGAGATTTTGCTTATTTATAGGCCATCTTTTAGGGCACAACCCTTATAAAGGCATTTACATAACAAATGATATGAAATACATTTTTTTTAAAATTGCAGCATTTTATGGTGATAGACATTTTCAAACAAAGCTCAGTTACAAATAAGTAAAACAGTAACAAACATTTCAAACTCTTCTGTTTATAAATGTGCTTTTACAATCCCATTGCCGGTATTTCTTAGTTTAGAGAAAGGGGAAAATATCAACTGAACTATATAACATGGAAGGCGCATTGAGTTTTTCACAATGAAGAAATCCCAAAACACAGTTTTAGACAACAAAGAGCAAAAATCTAGACCATTACCAGCCCCCAAACACTCAGTATCAAAACCTCTTTAATTGGTTTGGTCTAGCCATAGCAGCCATTTAATCCAACTTTCTGCCTTCCATGGTGA